AAAAAAAAAAACTTGGGGTGTGGGGCCACCACAGGGAAGGGAAAAAGGGATATAGCTCCTCACTGCTACATGCGGGAGGGTGGACTGGCCAATTCGTAGAAGAGCAAATAGGCGTCGCTGGTGCGAGTTTGGCTGGAGGACATGGGTGTGACACTGTGGAGAGAGCAGGGAAAAGTCAGAGCCTTGGTGTGGGGGGCCACTGGGATAGAGCTGCATGGCTGAGGGAGTGTGAAGGCCTGTGAGGGCCTGCCTGTAATCTCTCTAGTATACACCCGAGGCCAACCTTGTCTTCTAGAGATTCTTTGAATGGGCATAAGACTCATATGGGTTACACGGCTTTTTGGCTCACTTTTTCTGTCCAATCAAGGTAGAAACCATACAGATGGGTGAGGTACAGGTGTCTGACAGCCAGCAGGCCTGTCTGAAACCTCATCTCACCTGGAGTCATTGAAAGTGTGCCATTCGCCTGTCACTGGACTCCGACAGTAGGCCGTATAATGGCCGCCCATAGTGGTTCCAGAGTGATTGGACACAGCATACAGGTTGTAAACAGCATGGTCTGAGGAGGAAACACAAAGTTTCAAGCACCTGAGTCACTTCTTTCCCCTCCTGCCTCTATTTCCAGTTTCAAAACTCACTCTTTAGGAGCTTCCCCTTCACCTCTTGGCCTCCCATCTGTATCTTAGATACCATGCCTTGTTTCTTTCTTTCTTGCTGAAAAATACTCACTGGTGTTTTCTGAGGCAAATTCTCTTAAGTCCAAGTCTCTTAATGGGAAATTCACAAATGTTGTGAGCTTGCTGGTTCGTATCCTGGATTCGGAGAACCGCTTCAGATCTGGTATTGTTGTGTGTCAAGGACAGACAGGGTGGCAAGAAAGAGTCAAAGTAAAGGAGGACTGCCTCCTAAGAGGGCGAGCATCCCTCAGGCAGCAGAAGAGCAAACAAGAAGAGAAAGGCTATCCAGTCCCCTTTTCTCCTACTCTTCGCCTCGGCCTTCACCTCAGCCCCTGGTCATCAGTCTCTCTCTAAAGTCAAGTCCCTGCCTTGATGGACCTTAAGGATACGAAGCACCAAGATCTTTGGGAACCTCTGGATGGAGAACTTCTTTATACATCGTTTTCTGGCTCGGCAGCGACAGCATGTCTGAAAGATATGATGAACAGAACTAGAGAGGACTGTATGAATACTGTAACTACTGGGCCGGATCTGCTGGTGAAGGAGTTTTCCTAGAGAGGTCTCTTAGAAACCATATGGAAGAGTGACTTACAGGCTTTTCATCGCCATCAAGCACATCCTCTTTGGTGAAGAGCCTCATGCAGTCCATTAAAGTCACCTCAGGATAACCTCGCTGGGAGAGAAAAAAGTAAAGAGGTCAATGGCACAAAAGGATAAAAGTGGAGTTTCAAAAGTGGGTCACCAGGGGTGCATACCTTAGCAATGGGCAGCGAGAGGTCCCAGAAGGGATCAAAGACTGTAGAACAGTAACCACAATCGGTACATGTCAGGGAGCTCTTCAGTTGCCCCACAAAGAGATCTGGGGAAGAGATGGACATGCAGTGCTTAAACACAGGGAATTGAGCACATGGTTTTCTACACATCTCCTTTCTCACTGCTCCTGCCTGCTTGTTGGACACTGGGTAGAAAGAGGGCTGCCTGGAAGGATGATTCTCAGGGCTTTTCACGCTCTGCTCAGGAAAAAGCACTTTACAGAAAAAGCAGGCATTTCCCCCCATTCAAGCACTCACCTCCAATCCGACTGTCTTCCCGTTCTAGATATTTCCTCCACATCTGTCGCCCTTTCTCATCATCACTAGGAACCAGAGAGAAGACAATGGGTCAGAGCTTAAACCATGATGAGCTTACGGTTCTATCAAGCTCAAACAATAATAAGTTTAACGTTCTATCAATATAAATACTTAATATTAAAAGTTCTCAAATTATTATCCCCAAAGAAGTAGGTAAAAAACTCAAATTCGTAACGTTTTGCTTCCTACATCTTTCTCCTCTTACTTACGGAAGATGATCAAGGTTCTCAGGGCTGGACTTAGGCCTCACTGTTACTCGGTTCACTTCGTTGTGGAGCCCATCCAGAAGAAAGCGAAGAAACTCTTGAGCATCCTGCTGACTGAACCCAAAGAAAAGAGTGAGCAATCCCTCTCATCCCAAGAAGCTGCTGTTGCCGCACCCACCTTGGGGAGGACATGTGTGCAAGGCTCTTACTTATAGCCAACGAAGCGCGGTGCATATCTCTGGATCTGGGTCTTGAACTCAGATGGGCTCACCACATCATTGGGAGATGAAGTCCACATGGTCTGAATTAGTTTTGCAAACTCTATTAAAAGGAGAGGGTATAGAGGTGGGACATTTTCTATAAGTAACTCTAAAACTAGAAGCCCAACAAAAACTGGGCAAAGAAAGAAAAATAAGACAGATACAGATAAAATACAACTACTAGTACAGCAACAGCAGAGTGGAAAAGTGTCCACAGGGGAAGCAGGACTGTGTCCACGGATGGGTTCCTTACCTTCCATGAGGGCTGTGTGTGCATTGCTACTGTGGCTGAGATCTCGCATATAAAGCCTCTGCAGGCAATAATCTCTCAGCTCTCGGGTATTGCTCAGGCACTGCAGAATGGAGTTCATAAAGCACTGCAAGAGATGATCCAGATAATTAGCAAGGGAAGAGAGACCCTATCTGGCATCTCTACTTACTTAGTACCAAAGGCCCTCACATTCATCTACCCCAGAAATGAATCCTCCCATAGCCTCAAGTTTCTCTCCCTATAAGTGAAAAAGGTAGAAGTGAGGCAAATTCCCACCAATGGCACAAGTCATGTAACTGATTATTTACTATACAGATGTATAAAAGCATGGCTGAGCTGGACAGAAGAGCGTGGGAAGTGATGGATGTCCTTGAGGAGAAAGATCCAGGAAAGTAGCTAGGCTGACAGTTAAAAGGGCAACTCCCCTCTAGCAGTGCTTCCTGCTGGAGGCAGGGGTGAGGCAGAGCCCAGCAATTCTGTGAAACACCAGCCAGGAAGAGCAGATACCACCTGGCTTAAAGGGTAGGGAGTCAGATGGAGCCCGGAGGGGACTCTGGTTAGATTGTCCCAGTCTTGATAGTAGGGGGTGGTCCCAGGAAAGAAGTAGGCTGGGAAGAACTCACCGTGTTCCCAAGGTTTCGAAGACCAGCCAGACCCTGGGCGCTCTTGGAATTCTGCAAGCAAAGAACACAGGGCATATGAGGCTGAAGGCAAAGAGGCTAGGTCTGTGCCTGGCTCTTACATACAATCCTATCCCAGCTGGAGCCATAAGCATCAGGCCACACATATTATACTCTTCAACTTTAGTCTACATACCTTGTAGGAAAGAGGACTGAGGAATGCCTGTCATTTTCAATACTCAACAAAAATATTCTTGGGGTTTTTCCTTTCTTTTATTGACTATGTATTTTCCCCCATCTTTATATTACTCTTCATTCTCTGCCATATTGGAGAATGGAGATTAGAACTAGAGACTAGGAATTCATATATTTGGGAACATATTTGATTCCTGGCGACAAGAAATTTCAGGTCCCAAATCCAGGAACTATCTCAAATAACCTATATTTGTACCCCTAGATGTCCAATACGTAAAGCAGTGCTCATAATAAGCACTTCAGGGAGGTCTTAAAAAGTTCAATGACAAAACATTTTAATAGTTTAGATCTTTAGCTGGGAAAAACTCAAGTCAGCCAGCCATTATGAACTGCCAGGGACAGGTGGAATTCTTTCCAGCTGAGCTCAGCACCAGAGGGCTGATTAAAGCCAGAGAATCCTCCCTGCCTGGCTCAGGTTTCAGCATCCCAACTGGCCACTGGCTGGGAATCCTTGTGATAGCAGATTGTGGCCAACAGAGGTAAGCACCTGGCTGAAGGTGCCACTATTGCTCGTGTACCTATTGTGGAGGCTGGTGAGGGGGTTGGAGAAAGAACAGGTGCTAGGTTGAGAACACTGAGCATGGTCTGTCCAGGTCAATGGCTAATCCCTGGCCCCACCTCCAAGGAGTCAGAAAACCTTCAGGTTCAAAGGGTTAAAGAAGCCTTCTGCAGCTGAGCCTGCCACCCCCCACTCTCTTAGGGAGGGGGTCTGGGAACAGGCAACTCTGGAGCGACACTGGCTGGGGCATGCGTGGGGCCAGCTCAATCCTGATCAGAACAGGAGCCTGAAATAACTCAGCTAAAATTACTCATGCCGTGTGCTGACAGCCTCTAAGTCTGTCAGCAGCTCAAAGCCCATGAGGCTGTCAGCTCAAGGGGGTGGGGAGGGAAAAGGCAGGCTGGAGGGCTTTTCTCAGGAATTGCCATGCCGACCCCACAAGTAAAAGGATCCTTCCTTGCCAGTTATCAAGTCTAACACTAACAGGCAGAGAAGGACACATACCTAGAAGAGGGACCTAGTTTCCACCTGCAGCTAGAGAGAAAAGCCTGTTGGCAGCAGGTGGGGTGTAAGCATCCTTGAAGAGCTCTGCCAGGGCCAGACATGAAATTTGAATCTTACCTTTATGACAGTCTAAACCCTAATGTTCCAGTAAGAGAGATACAACAGAGTGCATTCCCTGGACAAAGACCTTATCAGCATTTTCAGGTAGACCTAGAGGACTCCCCTGGGGCCCAACAAAAACACTGCAGAAGTCTCTGCTTTGCACAATTGGAGCTAAACATTAAAACCTGCCCACAACAGAATATCCACTCTTACACCTATTTTTGGCAACGCTTTATTAGTTCTTACCCCCTGTGCCTCAGACAACATCTGTCTAAATAGGCTGTAGAAGCAAAGCATTCTACCACTGGTGACAGTGTCAGTGTACACCAAAGTGGGCCCTAAGCTGAGAAAGTACTCACTTAGCACCAGTGAGGGTGGGGCAATGGGAAACTGGAGGCATCTTTCTACTGAGGCATTCTGTGGTGTTGATACCAACTCTAAGCCAGCGGGGTGAGGGTCAGGAAGAACCTGTCATCATCCACAGTTACTATTCTTGAGGATCTGACCCTACTAACAGCCTGGTCGGTGGGGAGATGGGGAAGCTCCTTTAAGGCAGTGCTAGGACCCTCAGTTTTCTTGAGGGGTGCCATGCCTTTGTCTAAAATTTCCTGAGCTCAAAACCACATACGAATTTCTAAGCACTCTGCCTAGAAGGTGGTTGGATAACAGGAGTCAGGGAGTGGGAGCAGAGGGGAGAGCAGGGCTGTTCTATGCCCAGCCAGATATTCTTCTGCCATGAATAGGAAATCAGGAGCTCTGGGGAAAGTCAGCACTTTCCATTTCAGAGGGAACAAAATGTCCCAGGAGTGACCTTTCTTACCACGAAAACAATCCTACCTCAGGGCTGACAGGGAGAGGCTAGAACTGGAGAAGTTGGAAGAGACCCTGCACAGCCGGCCTCTCACCAGGAGAGAAGGAAATGACTCCGGCTGGTATGCTGGAACTCACGTGCAAAGAGGTGAGAAAATTTGGATCAGAAACTTCCTTAAAATTAGCCACCAGCAAACCCAATTTTGACTAAATAGGACCCACTGTCCTAGAAAGTAGATGCCATCTTCAGTAAGTAAACAGACAACATTCACCTTCCAGTGCAGCAGCAGGGGGCTCAGGAAGAGCCCATTCTGGGTTAATGCTGAGGAAACATCTGGGTATATGGGCCGTATAAGAAAGGATGATTGAGGTTTGTGTCTTCACATGCAAGACCCCAGTAGAGGGCTTTCCTGCTTACTTCACCTGTGCCATGAGGGTCAGCCATGAGTCCTGGCTGCAGCCAAGGAGCCTGGTGTGGCTCTGGCACGGGCAGTGCACGCACTGCCAACACGGGAGCTGGTGCCTGTTACGTAAGATCTGTCAAGCTCTGGCCCCTTCTTCCTTCCCCAAGTGGGCAGTGCCCAGTCTTTAGCCTCAGCATTAGTCCGTGGCTACTTCATTTGAGGGATCCAGTGCCCACTTAGCAGTACTGGGGAGGGCTGGAAAAAAAAAGGGAAGTTGCCCTTTTCCACCTGTCTGCAACTCCTTTGCCCTTCATAGATAGGGTCAAAGGACCCCCGGTTACCAACCCTTTGGGATCAGTGGTAGGGGGGAGGCAGACCCTTTCTGATTAGCCTTTCTTGCTGGGTTTTGGCCTTAAAGGAGTCACACCCGCAGAGTCCAGCGTGCTGCCCGTTCCCTCACATGCCGAGAACTAGTCAAGGTTACTAGGTGCTTTCCTGCACCTGATAGGTCTCAGTAATTGAAAGCCAAGAGCCACCTGGTGCCAGGGTTACGAGGGTGAGGAGGGACTCCGGACAAGACCTCAACAGGGTAGGGGGCTTCGAGTAAGCGTGAGATCACCTGGGGTGGGGGCATTCCTTGTCGGGAGACCGTGGGAAAGGAGGGGTGGGGGCTAGGAAGAATCCGTCCCCCGGCTAAGGGGGCGCGGTGGACTGGGCGGGGGCGGGGGGGCCCGGCGTTCCCGGGAAGTAGGCAGAACCCCAGGCCCTCCGCGTGGGGGTGCCGGAAAGGGGCCCCGCGTACCTTGGCTTTGTTGAGCAGGAGCCCCACGAAGGTAGAAAGCAGCAGGGAAGGGGAGAGAGGGGAGCGCGGCCGCAGCTCCTTGGCGAGGGCGGGAAAAGGGCCGGCGGGGGGCTCCTCTGGCAGGGTCACGGTGTACGAGGTGCGCATGCTGGGGGGCGGGCGGCGGGCTCCGCCCCACGCCTAACGTTGGCAAAGGGGGCACGGGGGTGTACCGCGCGGTCCCACAGCCCGGACGCTAAGACCGGCGAAGTCGCCACAGGACACCGTCCGCCACGCCCGGCGGTAACCGCTACGGCGGACCAACGCGCGCTCCTCCGCCTCAACCTCCCCGGCGCGCGCAGCCAACAGCCCGGTCGCCGGCTCTGCTGCCCTGGCGGACTGACAGCCCCGCAGGCGCCTCGGGCCCGTGACGTCAGCGCCTGGGCGGAGCCTGCTCCGCCCCCTTCTCCGCCCAGTCCCCGGGAGCCTGCGGGGGATCCAGGAGAGGCCGCCTCGCTGTCCACCCCCGCGCCTCCCGTGGGTTGGGTACGAGCTCCGCCGCCCCCAGCCGCCAACTGGCCAGGCGAGCCCGTCGCAGAGGCCTGCAACCCCCTGGGTGGGCAGGACGGGAGGGCAATGACGTGGATGGACGTAGATGGGATAATGCTGAACGAAATAAGAAATCGTCTATAATGCCCGCAGCTCCTTGGCGAGGAGTGTCAGCTGGGCGAACTTCCCTTAAGGCAGCATACAATTCCTAACTTTTGGGGGACTGCAGATTATCCTGAGAACTCGACGAAAGCTCTGTAGTCTCTTTGGGGAAAAATGCACTTACACACAAACTTTTGTACAACATTCGGTGGGGACTCAGGCCCTCTTGGAGCCCAGCATCCACACAGTCCATGAGGGTAGATGAGCCCACGTTAAGGAGATAGATTTCCAAGGCTTCTGGACTGAGTGTCCCTCCTCCCTCCAGTTTTAGCTTGGCATAGTAAGAGAGGCAATACTCATATTTTATAAGGTCCAATAGGTTACTGTCCCTTTTGGCCCCAGGTAAGAACCTTTTCTGGCCTCTTCTCCATCTTTCATAGAATCTCAAATTTTGATTTGTTTTTGGGAGGTGGGACTAAAGTAACACAATGGTGGGAAAATGGTGCTCAGCTGGTGGGGTGAGGGTATACTCTGACCCTAAGTGCAGCAGTGCCTGAAGATCATCAGATGTCTTTGTGTTTTATTTGGTGCTACCTCTGCCTCACCTATCAGGGACCCACATAGAATCTGCCTGGAGAAAGTATCTTGTTTGGAGGTTGCTATTTTTAGCCAGTATTTTTAGCATTTAAAAATACTCTGAGAGGCAGCAGTGTGAGCTGTTACTCATCTGTGGCCTCCTTCTGTTCCTCTTGGCATGCTCATCCCCACATGTACACTGCGCTGCACACATGACCACAGCCACATGGGGAATGTGTCCAGAACACATGTATGGCTGTACCCTAGCCCACCCACAAAACAGCAATTTAATGCTAATGAGAAGGGAGCATAGATAGCTGCCCCCATGTTTTCCAGAAGTGGTGGTGGGAGGAGTAGGCAGGAGGCAGGAGCTGCAGGGCCTTCTACTTGGTGATAAACGAGGGTCATTTTAGGAGGGGTGATCTCCACTGTCACAATCTTTGTCCACCTCCTGCTATGGCCAAACCTGGCC